TGCCATCTTCTTCGTTCCCTGGTTGCACGCAAAGGTTATCAAAAAGGACCACACCGTCAAGTTCTGGCATCTGCCCATGGGTCCGCTCCTGTGGAAGCGACCACCTCCGGCCGATGTTCATGAGAAAGCCAATGTTCCGGACTACGCCGTTGTTCAGAAGCACGACGACGAAGCTGAAGCTACTCCTCGTACACCAGACTCCGAGAGCCAGGATGACGTTGATAAAATCGAAGCTGATGTCAAAGGGCATTCCCATAGCACGGCAGAAAAGAGCCTCGCCGAGGTCGAGGCTCAGTCCACCCACTTGACCTATAAAGAACGGGTCGCTGAAGCCCAAGCAAGGTTCCACGCACGACTTCGGAAGAAGCGTGGTCCTCTCGGCTGGGCGATGCGGACTTTGCACGACAACCCCATTGGCGAAGGCGAGATCTACGAGCTCCGCAACATCAAGACCATTTTCAAACGCATTCCGGCCATGCTCGTCGTCGCCGTTCTGTATGGCGTGAACTACGACATCCACGCTGCACAGACCGGCGTCACGGGTACGCCCGAGGGTCGACGTATGGAGCGAGTGTATTCTCATGCGACCAAATATCCCAACGAGGTCGAGCACACCTATTCGTTTGTCCAGGTCATCACCGCGTGCACGGCGTCCTTTGCCCACGGCGCCAACGACATTGGCAACGCTGTCGGTCCCTGGGCAGTCATCTACTCGGCCTGGAACACTGGCGACGCCGCGAAATCCAGCGCCGAGGTGCCCATCTGGCAACTCGCGGTGCTGTCGGCGACGCTCTCCCTGGGTCTCATCACCTACGGCTACAACATTATGAAGGTCATGGGCAACAAGATCACCTACCACTCGCCCTCGCGAGGCTCGTCGATGGAGATGGGCGCCGCCATCACCGTGTTGCTGTTCTCCCAGTACAAGCTCCCCGTCTCGACCTCGATGTGCATCACCGGCGCGACCATCGGCGTCGGTCTCTGCAACGGCACCTGGAGGGCCGTCAACTGGCAACGAGTCGGTCTCTTGGTTTTCTCCTGGATCATGACCATCCCCATCGCCGGCACGCTTGCGGGCTGCATCATGGGGATTGTCCTCAACGCCCCGCACTTCCTCTCGTAAAGAGGCCCCGACACGGCATTAAATGATTCGGCTTTTTTTTTTCGCACAACTTTTGCGACGGGTGGTCTACTACACTATCCATGCTTCTCTCACTCTCAAAACAACTACTGAATCCCACTTTGAACGATGCGGTGAATTATAGTTAGAGTCGGCTGAGACGGGGAGACACGTTATGACTTTCTCTCTCATGTAAGCGTTGAGCGCGCGGTGGAAGTTGTATGGCTTCGGCTTCAGCTTCGGTGTTAGACAGTGTATCGTACATATGTATACACCACGTCAAACCAGGAATTGTCCCTCATGCTTCAGCGTCATTACCATTTTTAAGTCTTTAAACAAAGTCCTTAACCAAAACCTGCTGATGATAGACCAAGTTCATTCCGTGCTCTGTACGAATAAGTCCATCCAAGTCTCTATCCGCTCCTCATCGTCCACTGATAGCCATTATCGCCACTGCTGGTCTGGTGCTCGGAGACACGACCCCGGCGCTACTTACTCGCCAATACTCAGTAGACTGCAATTTCAAACTCTCCTCTTTATGTTGCAGCACCTCCTCGAGTGCTCTTGCTTCTTTGAGTGATGATCACGAAGTTTTTGTATAGACGTGGAGTAATTAAGAACGAGGTCGTGGAAAAATCTAGAAATGTCCAAAGGGGCTCTTCTCTTTTCTGCACGTTGGATTATCTTTTGTGTGAATTGATGATCGCCATTAGTCTCGGTCTCTAGTATGTATGTGTATTGGGAATGCTTCCATACTTTGTATATCCTCGAGTCTTATTCTGCCCCAGCACACACACATTACAGACATCACACATTCGCCCACCCACCCATCCATACTCGCATAGACATATCTCTCCAACACACGCATTTTCTCATCTTCAGGGGTCCTCGTCACCACACAAACTATCATTCGAGAGAAGCACGTGCGTAATAACCCTTTCCATGACCTCTGGCTCCCCACAGGTCATAGCCCGGGCCAAGTGACCCGCCAACCCGCCAATGTCTTGTCCTTGTTTCTTGTCTCCCTTTAGTCCCAGTACTCGACGGCGGTGTCGGAGTCGCGCTTGGCCATCTTCTTGTCCCTGCAGATCATGCGTTAGTTTCTGGGCGTGTGAATTCGGTAAGATGCCATGGATGGCCAAGTCGCCAAAGGAGAACCAAGACGATGGATTGGTGGGGTTCGGTGTTTCTTGGAGCCTTGGTTTCTTGGAGGGAAGAGGGAGGAGAGGATGGAAGGACGGAAGGGGAAAGAGGGCACGTGTCTCTAAATCCGAATGATACGGTTGTGAGGTAGGGATGGTACGTACCAGTACTCGACGGCGGTGTCGCTCTCAGGGGAACGTTTGTCCCAGTATTCAACAGCAGTGTTGCTGTCAGGAGATCTCTTGTCCCAATATTCGACAGCAGTGTTGCTGTCAGGAGATCTCTTGTCCCAATATTCGACAGCGGTGTCGCTGTCAGGTGATCGCTTGTCCCAGTACTCGACGGCAGTGTCCTCGCCGCGTCTAGCTTTGGCCTTGCGGTCCCAGTATCTGGAAGGAAAAGCGTCAATTGTCACGCTCGTTGCTTGTGGTCTCTCTGAAAGCCGGGTACTTACTCGACAGCAGTGTCTTCGCCACGCTTGGCCTTTCGGTCCCAGTATCTGTGACGAGGCTGTTAGTTTCATGTGTCATTGAGGCGACGAGGCGAGGTACTTACTCAACAGCAGTATCTTCGCCACGTTTGGCATTGCGGTCCCAGTACCTTGCATAGCTTGTCAGTGACACCACAGTACGAGGGCTCTGGGTGGTTCTGCCGCTTACTCTACAGCAGTGTTCTCGCCACGCTTGACTTTGTCCCTGTGGAGCGTTAGTATATCCAATGCACTTGACACGACGCCAATATCCTGTTAGGGAACAGACTCACCAGTACTCGACGGCAGTGTCATCGCCGCGCTTGACCTTGTCCCCTAGCACGGTATTAGCATCGGAGGCATGCGTGTTGAAGGCTCGAGGTCCGGAAGTAGTATCTCTGAAACTTTTGATTGGGCCAAAGGGTTCTTACAGTATTCGACAGCAGTGTCCTCGCCTCGTTTGGCCTTGTCCCTGTCATCACTGTTAGAGCAGCTCTGTAAGACTCGAGGTCGAGTTCCGAAGCAAGATATTATGCTTCAAAGAACATATTGTGTTCCCAGGACGGTGTTGACTTACCAGTACTCGACGGCGGTGTCCTCGCTTCGCTTATCCCAATATTCGACAGCGGTATCCTCACTGCGCTTGTCCCAGTACTCGACAGCGGTATCCTCAGCTCTCTTGGTCTTTGCGGTGTCAGCCCGTGAGACATTCTTGTGCCAGAAACACCCACCTTATCCCAATACTCAACGGCGGTATCCTCGCTTCGCTTGTCCCAGTACTCAACAGCAGTGTCCTCTCCTCTCTTCATCTTTCGTTGGGTTAGTCAACCGTAGTTCCACAGGTCTGTCTATACCTACCACTTCCGCAATGGGCCTCAAGGGCGCTGGGATTGCAACGGCCGTCACTGCGACTGCCGCGCAGAGCAAAAGAGCGTATTTGACCATGTTGACGAATTGATGGTAAGTGCTGCGAGGCGTTCCGGTTGGAGCGTTGATTGGACCTGGGCAAAACTGTTGACTTCACTGGGAACCTGAGGCTTTGTACACAAGGCTGTACCGTGCTGCAAGAATAACGAGAGACGATTCGAGGACTGTCCATGTTTTATAGAACTATCCCAGGTTGAAGGAGGACTCAACATGTCTCTCTGTGACGTCGAGTATTCGAGTGTGACCCGACCAGCTCGAGGCGACCATCAGGAGTCCTTACAGCCATGACGGCAGTATGCTTACCTGAATAGAGCACCGCACCCATGACAAGACTCTACTGTGTGCTCTGATGATGCTGGAGGTAAAGTCCACGTCAACAAAAACTGACGTGATGACTAAGGCGAGTGTGCTGGATACATGGCGAGTCATGCACGCAAGGCTGGGCAAATGTCACGAGTCAGTCAGGGGTCAGCAGCATTACTTTGCAAAAGGTCATGCTGACTGTCACCCGTCATCAACACTGTCAACATCCTACGGCTTCATGGCAGAGTGAGCCACACACTGTACATCCCGACGACATCAGAGGATCATCACTCGAGTATTCTGTGCTTTTACCACTATGAAAGAATAAGCAAAAGTGTGGATGTCGACGGCCTCAATGGGCAGCTCAAGCTATGATGACTTGGTAGGGTCTTCACCCTCCGACAACGCCCGGCAGACCATGCTGGCACAGCCATCTTGCCCACTTGGGATCGATCCCGGTTGCTTTGGTCTAGGGGGTTCCAGCCTCCGCCGAGACTCTTGACCTTCACATGCCCTTACGAGCCCAACTGTCTTGAGATCGAGGCCCCAGTTTCACAAAGACTATTCACCAAACAATCGAGCCGTTGGATCTCCCCTTCATCCTCAGGACCGCTCACCACGGCGACAATGTATTCGAGAAAACAAGACGTGGCATCCCAAGTCACCCAACGACTTGGTTATGGCAGACTCTTTTGCCTGACTTGCGGACTTGGAGGGTAAGATTCTCGGTCGATTCTTCCACAGCAAGGACACTCACTCACTGGTGGGTCACAGGCTTCAAACTGTCTGGGCTTTGATAATCTCGCACGGCAGTGTAAGTGATCGAGCCCAGTCCGTGGTCGCATCAGAGATGTTCGCTAACTACACCCAAAGCCATACTTGATGTCCCTAGGATTGTCTCGGTCCATGACAGCTCTGGTTTGGGCATCAAGTCCAGCTTGTGGCTTCTTGCAGCCTATAGTTGGCATAATGAGCGACAGATGCCGACTCTCCTGGGGTCGGCGCCGGCCATTTGTCCTGGTTGGCGCAGTCTGCTCTATGATATGCATCTTGTTTTTGGCCTGGGTCGAGTATCTATTCCAGTCGATATCGCCGAGCCTGATGCAGGCGGTCGCGGTCCTGACGGTCATACTGCTCAACGTCTCCATGACTCCACTGGCTTTCGGTCTGCGGTCGTTGTTCACGGATCTCGTGGTTGCTCAAGAACAGAGCCGCGTCACCGCGTGGGCGAGCTACTCGACATCCGTGTCTAACATTCTCAGCCTGTGGGCAGGCAGTTTTGATCTGCCCCAGGTACTCGGCGTGCCGTCCCTGACACAGTTCCAGGCTCTGAGTATTCTCGCCTGTCTCAGCCTGGCGGCCACAGTTTCGATTTGCCTGTGCACGGCGCGGGAACGCAATCCCAACTTCGACGCGACTTTGGCGGAGCATAGACGGCCGCTTGGATTTGGGTCTGTTCTCCGCTCCATCCGGCAGGCTTACCGCTGTACCCCGACGCGGATCAAGCAGGTTTTTGCCGTACAGGTCTTTTCTTGGACAGCGTGGTTTCCTTTTCTGTTCTACATGACCAGGTGAGAGCCCAGTAGCTGTCGTGGCAACGAGTTTTTAACTAACCTGCCACAGTTACGTGAACACAAGATGTATGTTCCAGCGAAGAAGTTTTTGCTGAAGGGGTTGATTATGCTGATTGTTGTTTTGTGAAAGATGCCCTCTCCCAGCTACAGTCTTTCCACGGTTGGACCGACGTGGCCACTCTTCTGAAATCCCCAGCGACTCAAGTCGGCTCCACGGCGCTTTTGATGTGGACGTTGGTGTCGTTTCTGTCGACCACGGTCCTGACCCGTCTCGTCCGCCAGCCTTGTACAACCACAGCACCCACGGAAGATATCGCAACGACAGACCCTGCATTGTCCTCCATGCACACGGTCTGGATCTACAGCCACGTCCTCTTCGCGGCCTGCATGTTGCTGACCCTGGTGGTCAAATCGTGGCAAGGCACCGTGGTCCTGGTGTCTCTGGTTGGTTGCTCCTGGGCGGCGACGCAGTGGATCCCGCACGCCATTGTCGGTGCAGAAATATCGCCCAGGAGGAAGGACTACAGACTCTACGACGTGGACTCTGACTCTGACGCTGACGCTGACGAGGTCGATGAGCTCCGCAAACACCGCGGCGCGATTCTTGGCCTACACAATCTCGCCATCTCCACACCGCAGATCGTCGCCGCGCTAGCCAGCAGTGGGATCATGCGGATCATGACCGACATGGGAAGCGTCGAGCCGGCTGTCTGGACTCTGCGGGCGGCATCCGTGCCGGCCATGGTTGCGGCGACGCTGGCATATCGACTAGGGGAATTCTAGTTCTATTTCTAGGCCGAGTTCGGAGGTTTTATCGAGAAACGTGATTGTGACAGGGTAAATGAATGAAATAGCGTCGAGAGATTGATCATTTTCGTCAAGTATCTTTGATGTGATGGAGAGAGGATTCCTTGCCTGCCTGCCGTATTAGGCCTCAAGCCCCTCATGCCCCCAGTCTTGCCTGTGCACTGGGCCCGCCATTAGGGAGATGTTTGCGGTGTTTGCAGTGTTTGCAATGCTTTTTCATCCACAGGTTGGTTCCCCCCTGCGCCTTTGTCAACGTTGGCAATCGCTATTTGGCGAACATTGCAGAGCGACGCTCTCTGTGCTCTTGTCTTGAAGACCTCTGAAGGCTCCCTTACTCCTCCGATGCTCTTGCCTACATTTCTCCTCCAACCTCCCGAGTACTGGACCCGCGAATATCTTCAAACGCTTCGTGTAGAACGATGCCACGTTCCAGCCAGGAAACTCAGGATAGGAGACTTCTTACCTCCAGATGGAAATGAAGGGAGGTCTACTCGCGTCTCTCTTTACCCCACGCCTAATCTTACACACCTATAGAATTTGAAGAGCTTGCTGCCGACTTAGCGCGGCCGACCAAAGAAGATTTACTTGACCTGGCATTCGGGCGCGCCCTCTACCGCAAAAATAGATTTCATTCTTTCTTCCTCCGGTTATACGATGCTGCCAAACCAAACTCCAGCTCTCAGTCCTACACAAGAGCTATCTCCGACTTCCTCGATGTTCTCTTGAGTAACGCGAATTCCAGAGAGAAGCTGTTGGGATAAAAACGCTCTCTCTTAATGAACTACGTCTCATATTGTGCAGGGCTCTAAATCTTGAGTCGAAAGTATCCTTCGAAATACCTCGTGGTGATCACGGAGTCCTGAAATGTCTAAACATCTCGGATCCTTCCGGACGCTCGCTCGCTACCTTTTTGGTATGAATCATGTTTTTATGCAGACAGGGAAATTAACAGTAGATATAGGTTGTGAGCTCAACAGAAAGTCCGACAAGAGTCCTCGCCAACGAGGTCGCCCAAGCTCTCGTACAAGGCTGTGTGGCACATTCCCTCGACCCAAGTCGCCATAGCTACGAGACATTTGTACTCCGTTTGAGTGACAATCTCCTCCAGATTCAAGAGACAATCATACCATCTGCGTACCTAGAGGATCTCTACAGCGGCAAGTCTGAAAGGACCCTCCAAGTCTCTTATTCGGATGACTTTGACCTTCAAGTACCTGATGACGGAAGAGAGGCGCTTAGAATTATTCTTGGCCTCTTCGACTTCCTTGCTTCAAGGCTATGATCTTTCACTCGAACTTGAGATGAATCACTTTCATTTCCGTACTCTCTGTTAATAGTCCAAAACTTAGAGGCGGGGAAGCATTTGAGTGGTAGTACATAATTAGTGCCTCTAGGCATCTCCCTCAACCTCCACTTTCATGCAGCCACTCTGCTCTCAAGCCCATGTCTCGAGCTCACGTTATCCACCGTCTCTTCCATACCCCCGTGCGAATACTCCCTTCCAACCAATAGTACTCAGTGAAGACATTTTTCATCCCTGAAGATGGCGCCGGCACGGAGCCAGATCATCCACGCGCCTTCAGACGAGGTTCCCCGAGGCGTCAAGTCCGTCTTCCTCGCCGGCACCACGGGCAAAGTCGACAACACGACCGACTGGCGCGAGGTCCTCTGCACCTCCCTCCGCGACACACCCATCACGATTTACAACCCGTATCGCGCCGACTGGGACGGTTCGTGGCGCGAGAACGTAGATTTTGTACCCTACCGCGAGCAGGTGGAGTGGGAGCTCGAAAAGCAGGACCAGGCTGACATTATCGTCTTCTTCTTCCACCCGGCCACCCAAGCGCCCGTCAGTCTGCTCGAGTTGGGGCTCTGTGTGCGTGCTCCCGGCAAGGCGGTTGTCGCCTGTCCAGAGGGGTACTGGAAGAGGGGAAATGTGCAGATTGTGTGCAACAGATTCGGGGTCGAGATGGTCGACACTGTCGAGGGGTTGAAACAGGCAATCATGAACAAGTTACCCATCGGCTCCTGACTTCAATTCCCCCAAGCTATGAAAGATTGAGATGAAGACCGGGCTGGCCAGGGTACGGTAGCTATACGGCGACCCGACAGCCCAGACCTGCCAGCCAGCCAGTATTCGACACTGAGCTTTTCAACCGAACAACATCAATTCCGAGCTGAGGAGCTGCCAGGATATGGCCACGCCAGCAACTACCAATACGGCCCAAAATTTGTACCACTACAAAGGTTTCCGCCTGGTCAAGCCACAGATCAGTCACCTTGCTGGGTTTCTGACGATGACTGAGGTGTCGGAGCTTGCTGATGGGGCCGAGTTTCGGGAAGTCATCTCGGGCGTGGTACGTGTCACCTTTGCTGGGGATGTCTTTCCATGGATCGACATGAGGAGGTGTGACATATCTTGGGATGGATATCTTTTGCAGAAACTTGTCGCAGCTCTTCCACCGTAGACTGCCGGTGCTCGTATCCTTGCGCTCATAGATCTAAGGGCATGGCTTTCGAGGCAGGGCGACATTCTGCTTTTGCTACAAGTTCTTTCAAACATTCAAAAGAGTTCTTACTTGCCAGACCTTCTTGTCTGGACTCGCCTGCCACCTGGCCCAAACAGTGGACAGGAAGAGAGTATAATCTCTCGCTCTAAACCCGCACAGCACTGTTCTTTGTCCTCCTTCACCCGGGGACCAAGGGGTGTCGAATTCCGCGACAACAACGACGGAGAGGAATCTAGAATCCAGTCTTCCAGTACCGAGTGAAACCAGCAAGTGCCACTCCACCAGGACTAGTATGTTCTAAGTACAAGTGTCACTGTCTCCTATCCCTACCAAACTACACATGTCCAAGGTGGTCGTGATGATGATGATGACGATGTCTCTCCCCAGCCTCGTACGCCTCCTCGTCGGTCTGCCCGTACGTCTCCCACTCGGCCATCCAGGCCATCAACTGCGCCCAGTCCTTGCACTGATGCACGGTGCCGAACCCCGTGACGCCGCCGCGCTCGTCCTTGACCTCGACCGTCAGGTCGGGCTGGCACATGAGCGCCTGGCGGAGCAGGTCGACGCAGTGGCTGATGTGGCGGGGGGAGATCATCTCGGACATGTCGGCGTCGGGGCCATCTGCTGATGCGGAGAGGGTGGCGGCGCCCGTGGCGACGGCGTGGGTGAACCAGTAGGCTTGTCGGATTCCGTTCTACATACATTTTCCATGTTAGTACCTCCTACATACTCGGTAACCCGGCACATGTATGATGTATGGCGATCCTCCTCTCTACTTTTTTCCATTTGTGAGAGAAAGTCATAACGTACCAAGCAATGCAACTGGTGGAATACCGCAAAATCAGACCGTGACGGGGCAATCTGGGGATGTTGAAAGAATCCCCCTTGCACGGGCAACAAATCGTCCCAGGCGGCCTCGGTGACGGGGCTGGGTGCGTCGCCGAAGCTCGCGTTGTATTCCAATTCGAACTCGATGGTGCGGACTATTCTCTCTCGCGACACGCGCAGATCAGCAGCCACTCTGGACGTGGGTACATGCTCGCTAGACACACACACACACACACTCTCTCTCTCTCTCTCTCTCTCTCTCTCTCTCTCTGTGTGTGTGTGTGTGTGTGTGTGTTCAAGCCCAAGTGATATACACGTTCAAGGTTCAGATTCAAGGCTCAAGGGGACGGTCTTACGCTGTAACGGGCCCCCATCCCCGCTGGACCACTTAGTGTTCCTCTGGTACTCGTATATTGTCCCGGCGTAGAAGGCGAGGACACAGGCACTCGCTGTTACCAGCGTGGCGAGAATTAGTTTCAACACCGTCGAAGATCCCCGACAATACGCACGATGGCGAGGTTGTCGAGAATTGTGAATGTCGGGGCGTCCCTCGTCGAACGAAGCTTCCTCTTTGTCGGCGTCTAGGAGGTTGTAGCGATACGTGTAGTGTCGAGTGGCCGGCCAGGACCACCAGTCGTGGTCGAACATTGTGTTTGTGATTCGTGAGGAAGAACACACTTGTTTCTTTCACCCTGGGAGTTTTGGACCTGGGAAAAGGAAAAGGGGCTTGAGATTCAAGAGAATGGGGTGGGATAGGAAGGGAAGGTCAGAATCGGATGACGAAGCTGAACAGGACAGCCCAGTCCCCCCAAGGCTAGAAACCTGGGATCAAGGACAAAAGGGGGCGGGATCAATGAAGAATGATGCTTGACCAAAGCCACGACATCGGCCATCGAACCTCATCCTGGATAGGACCGGGTCGAAGGAGAATCAATTCGACATCTTGGAAAAGGGGTTCGTTTCCTGATCTGATCGTCATAGTAGAGAGAGAATGTAGGGGTGCGACTCGTGTCTCGCGGTGATCATTGCGATCCTGACGCACTATCCTGTATGGTCGGCGACAAAGCATCGCATCGAAACATCGCACCGAAGCATCAAAGATTGGTAGTGCAGTGTAGTGCAGTGTAGTATAGTGTAGCGTGGTGCACATACTGTAGGTGCCATGTCAGCAAGCAGGACCACCAATGGGCATTCCCATCAGTGGTACACCTACCTAGTACCTACCTGTGAGTGGAGAGGTCGATGACAGACATTGTCTTCGTATCAGTGTAACACTGTTTCACTGTTGTGTGGACCCGCCAGTCAGTCACTCAGTCACTCAGTCACTTAGTCAGTCATGAGTAGTCACTGAGGAGTCCCGCGAGATGACAGGGGCACAAACAGGTCATCCTTTTGATCTGGAATATGTGTGGGCATCGTTCTTTGGAAGGATCGTATGGAGAAGCTAGGGAGATAGACTGTCATCAAGAGACCCACGATGCTTTGCTCAATCAAGCAAGTGAATCGTAAGTGGTGGGATCTATGTGCGGAAGATCGACAGATGGCTTCCATGGTCTGGGGGGAAGGGAACCAGGACTCGGGTGGGGGCAACGAAATGTCGTCTGTTTACCAGGTACGAGTACAAGCAGTGTGAATGTGAATGTTGTATACACAGATATGCAGAGTTGTAGGCACGGAATAAGGAATTGTAGGTCTAAGATTGCCACATCTCTCGACTATTCTGGGCCATGAGACAGCCCCTGCTACTACCCAGACATATCCCCCTAGTACACATATCCGCACGAACTGTATTTCTGAATGACATTATTCAGTCGACAAGTCCCAGGCGCGGCACACTGAGGCAGCTCTTCGAGTAACACCAGCTGGCAGTGCTCCGTGTGGGCGTAGTTCAATGAAAAGCTGTCAATGGGGAAATGGTTCATGAGGGCATGATGCACCTTCTTGACCACATGGGCACAATGGACCTGTTAAAGCCATCAGAATCCCGACCGCTGAGTCATAGAAGAATAGGACATACCGAGTGAAACTTGTGAGGCGCCCACACTTGCTCGTGTTGGGCCTGGATGATTTCTTCCAACGGCACCAGAGACTCCTTGGTGAGGGATTTGTCGTGGTAGAAAGCCACCGGTTCCATGTTGATGAACTCTTCGATAAGCTCAGGATAGTAGCATTCTGGTCGGACCCAGGTGACGGCGAGAGGATCGTAGACGCAGCCCTTTGTCCTCGCCTGGTCTGGTGTTTTCCCGCAGTCGCCAAACACGGGATGAAAAGTGGGTGTCTGGTTCATTTTGAGAGGCAGCAGCCAATACACCAGAAAGCTGAGGGCGGCGAGAGCAATGAAGAAGGTCCAGAGCAGAATCGACTTGGGTAACCTGCATCTCCTCGCTGTCGTCCGTGCATGCGTCGACCCGAGCTCCTTTGCGTTCAGGAGGGCGACGTCTTCCTTTTCGAGATCGCGGTCATCCTCGCCTAGATCGCAAACCGTATCTGAGGACAACGAGGCTTCTGAAGACTGTGAGAGACCGGGTACGAGACCACTTTTTGCTTCGTCTTCGCCGCCTTGAGACATGGCTGCTTGGCTCGATTATTCTGACGAAATCGTGGATCAACAAACCTGTGAGAAAGAAAAAAACTTGGCTGTTCCTGGGATTATCATCGTTGTTGGCACCGATGATCCATCTGTAGTTACCCACGTTATTGATACAAGACGATCAGGGGTCGACACTCGAGGCATGATTCCCCATGGCGACTTGCTGACAGTGTGTTGCGGAATGCAAGCATCGAAGATCAGACGGATGACCAGAGATCGTTTGCGAGCTTCGCAATCTTGCTGTCACTGCTGACATAGGCACCATGACCCAGAGGCCAGGATACGATGCGTACTGGGATCGCCCAAGTTGACCTTGTGCTTGTCGTGTCGACTTCGATGCTTGCCACTCCTGCGCCATCGTTGACTCGTTGTAACGCTGCAGCAGGAAACCCCGAGCGTCTCCCTCCCCTTACTATACATATGCAGTAGCCGCTACCATTAGCGGGCGCCAGCGGACGTTTATCCATCTTGCACGAACCCAATTTATCCATAAGCCCTAGCCTCCTCTTAACCTAGATAGCCAATGTCACAGCGCAGGTCCACATGCTGCCAGCCAGTCGGAGGTTTCGGGCGCCCATCGAGATATGTACCTGTGATGCCAATTAACCGAATGCAAATGCTGGTTGGCCGAGCCGGGATGGATGGATGGACGGATATATGCATGGGGAATCCTCAGACTATTTTGTGATAAGTACCATGTCCATCCGGCAACCCTATCCTGGTCGCGTCGTAGCTCGTCTTTACAAAACCACCAGGAAACACATGCAATAATGTGGCCATGGCCGTTTTCGATGACGAAGTTTGTTACTGTAGGATTGCAGCTCCAACCTGCAACCAGTAAGTGAACCTATGCAGTGTTTCGCGCGAAGGATTTGAGGGCCGAGAAACTTGGACAGATCAGCATCGTCGGTTGCCGATGCTGTCTGATCCTGAGGGGAAGAGGTGGCCTGTTCGTTCTGCAGTCTTGTTACTTGGGATCAGGAATCCTCGATATGCAGCGAGGCGAGATGCGATGCGTTCAGGATCTCTAATTGAGATCAGGAGGAAACGGGGGGAAGGGGAAGGGAGGAGGGAGAGGGGGTTTCTGTAGGATCGAGTTTGTCACCTTTTACCAAACAACAAAAGGACAAAGGCACGTGGAATTAAACCACCCAGAAACTGGCTTTTTTTCGAATCACAATCAGGCGCTCCAAAAGGCACCGAATCTGACCTGAGACCATGATTTGCTTCCTTGGAAAAAACCATCGGCGGTCAAAAAAACCATCAACCTTTTCTCCACCACATCCATCCATCCGTCCATCCAGAGCGAGAGAAACATAGAGTCTCATAGAGTGTAACCAAACTAACTATACCTTGATACCACCAATGCCATCACTCGGATGCTTCCGAAGTATTACATCACCAAGGGGCGCTTTGGAGATCGCCGTATTGTATATCGATTGCCTGATCCCAAGTTTCGTTGTGGATCCTGGATCCCCGGTTCCCTCAAACTTCGTGATCGACGATGCGCCTTATGGCAGGTTCACCAATGGTTGTTCTGTGGAGAGAGGGAGAGAAAAGAGAGCCGGCATATAATATTCTGGGTCCGAGGGACAATGCTTTCGTCGACAGCTGATCTCTGTTCGAGATGACTTACTGGGAAGAAGAAACACCGAGGGAATTTCTTGGTTGATACATCACTCGACAAGAAAAAGACATGGACGACGAGTTGAAGGATATCAGCGATGCCCACGAGCGCCGTAAAGCTCAGAACCGCATCGCCCAGAGACGACGTCGTGAGTTACTCTCCCATCGTTAGGCAATGGAAGTGATTTGAGAGTTGGCTAAATCTCTTTCTGCTCGTAGGGCAACGACTTCGACAGGACGCAAAACCCACGCCTGGAGATGTTACAGAGATGGCCGGCCTCGAACCCTCAGATTTGGGTATGATGGGATCAGAAAACGGAGCATCAAGTCTCAATGGAGCGGCCTCTTCACTCTGGAACCAGGACGTCGGCGGGCTGGACACGGATGCAAGTTTCATGGATCTCAACTTTCTAGAACCCATGGAAATCAACGAACTCAACGAGATGCTCGGGGTCAATGACAGTCCGCCTCTCAAGATCATCACAGACCCATCGCCATCGTCTTCCTTGTCAAATCGGACGGGACAAGTGGTGAGCAATCACTGTCGACGCTGCAGTTCACATCTCTCCAAATCGACGGTTGCCAGTTCCCCAGACAATGCCTTTGGAGGGCGTCATCAAGCCAAAGCCACAGCCACCGAGACGGCCGAAAGTGCATACGACAGGCGTGAGCGTTGCCGTGGCGTTCAGAAACCATATGTCAGCCGTACCAGTTCGGGTCCTCAATCTCTCTCCCTCGAAACAACATATTTCCCACCAATGGACGATGTCGGCACCGGCAATACCACCACTTGTACAGAGTCGATACAGCCATCCCGGCACGGGAGCCCAATACACACTCTCAACAAACGCACGTGGTCCGATTCCCGTGTTCAGCAGCAGCAACAACAACCACAGAGACATCCCAAAATTGCACCAAACCCGCAGAGACTATCCTCGACGACATCCTCGACCTCTTCTTCCTCTTCATTGTCCCATTGGTCTTCAACCTCCAGCGACGCCGCCGAGCTCAGACACCACGATGACTGGGAATCCCAACGATCCCCGCTCGCATCCACGCTGACCCAGCGATCCCAGAAACTGGCCACTGACCTGATCCGGCTGTACGAATTGGGCGTCTACCTGGACATCCAATCCAAAGACGCCGAGCTGGAGGAGCTTCTCTCAGAGGTGCGACGGAAATTCGCCGTGCTTCACGGCAAGGTGGAAAAGAGGGCTCGGAACATGAACGACGACGATGCTACGAATCGTCGTTATAGGGAGATTGGGTTTGGCGAAATTTGATCCATACATAGGGACGGGGTTTGGGAGAGATTACCGGCGTGACTTGGGGAATACACGCAAGGAAAAAAGGGGGACAAAATTGGCAGAGATGTTGGTGGTGTTTGGTATACCATCTGTACATAATTACATTACAAGCACCAGGCACCCCCAGGGAATGGATGGGAGATCACGAAATAGCGCCCAAGCGTTGCTGTACTGGGTGAAGGACCTGAGAATGTCTAGGATTGGGGCCCTTGGAGGACCAGGTCTAATTCCAGTTGCATCCCAGCCTTGAGTTTCTGAGGCGTTGATTGATCAAACACCCCTGGAACCTCGTTCCAATGTCCCCCTCGTTTCCCCCTATTCCTCACAAGCATCAGTGACAATCAAGGGAAGACGTCATCGCCGTCTTTTCCCGCCGCACCCCCTTGGTATCGACAACTTTCATTCTCAATTGACCATCAAATAAGCACTCTATCCACTATGTGCACAACGCCGTCACTGCAGAGAAAGTCGGCAATCTTGACCTTGGCCCTGGCTCGCGCGCCGCCATTCCCCGCTGATCCTTGTACCCGGAGATCGATGAACCCGCCAGCTCTGGCAATGTCGACCGTCAGTTCCTCACCCGGTCGCAACGTTTCCAGAACAAACTGGCGATGGCCCCAGGGCACCCTGTAGCAACCCGGTTGGGACTGGGACTGGGACCGGGACTGGACCTCAGAGCTATTACGAGAAGGGTTGACTTGGTACGAGTACCACGATCCCTTGTCGTCAACATGTTTGACCTGAGATGGTGTCTCCATCGAGTTGGAAGTTTTGGATGACGCTGCTGCTGCTCTGTCTGCGTCGTAGAACGCGTTGGAGAACAGTGTCCGATTCGGCACCAAGTGACCCCTGAGAAGTGTCTTGAGGACATCCCTCCCCTCGTCACGGAACAAGAATTCCAGATATGGCGGGTCGAGTTCGCCAAAGGCTGCATCGTCGGGAACAAAGAACGTCGCTCCGTAGAGTTGTGCGCGCTCCAGCTCTCCCGCAAAGTCGGCGTGCTGTACAGCCCGGCGGATCAGGCTGTAGCCCCCTTCGTCTGTGAGGGAGCAGTCGATGAATGTCATCATGGGCACGAGCGGTGGAAAGTACGAGTCCACGACATGTATGATCCCATTGCGGGCCATGATGTCGTGTTGGACGATTCGAGAATGTCGGTTGACCATCAGGGCGACTTCCCCCGTGGCACTATCCGGCACGGACAGGCTGATGTGGATGCGTGCCTCGCCATTCAATGTGCTGGGCCGCAACAGTGTCGGCGTGTTTGGCATGGACAACTCCCTGATCGTCGGCACCCAGTGAGGAGAGATATGGTTCGCCAGGCACTCATGAAGGGCCTGGCCTTGACACCACCTCGGGATGGCCGAGTCGGCCGCAGCGGCCGCAGCCCAGACGGTAGTGTTCAGATCCGGGTCACTCAGTCGCGAGACAAAGTCGTCGAACGGCCGTAGGACATCGGCAAAGGAACGAGTCTGCTCGAGAGACCCGAGGACGTCCCACACCGTCTTGTCCCACCATCTATACTCCGGCCCTATGTAAGGGAACTGGTGCGGAATGCGGTCGACCGGAGGACAAAAGTCAAACGACTTTGGTATCTCCTGGAGGTCATTGTGTACATCTTGAGACGAGAGCACAGCCTGCGACGAAGGACGCGGCGAGAATGCTTCTGGGACAGCCTGGACGGACTTGAGGAGGAATACTAGGGAAACTAAGGGGAGCATTATGCTAGAGATGTCAAATTCTGGCAGGAGACGGTCCTCATACGAAGCGCCTGGGTGACGGGAAGCTCTTATCTACGCTACCCGAGGGGCCTTTGTCTACTCAGCAGGGCCAGGGGGGAGCCAGTGAAGCCTTGCGAAGGCCAGACTATGTCGAGGATGACATCTTTGTGGTGTCATTATCGAGGGTGATTGCAGCTCTGCACATGCTTTGCGCTGACAATCCAATCCAACCCGTGATCGCAGGGGTATGTGTTTCTCCCTTATTCTACCATGTTGACTACACAGGTCCCTGTTCAGTATGGGGGATCCTGCATCGCAAAGACGCCGCTGGGTTTAGTCAGAGGTCCCCTGATTTTGACTGCATGTTCCAGAGCCCAATCTAAAACCGCGCCTGGATCTCTACACTGATGGAAAGTGTTATAGTCTGGATATGGCTTCTCCGAATCTTCCATCCAATGGAACAAAATCACCTCGGTGCCTCCTGGATTGCACATGAGGACCTCTCGCAGGCTCTCTATACAGTGGTCTGGTTCGAGTCACCACGTCAGATTCAGATCTCGGGGCGGTTTCACAACGAATAGAACTCACCAAGGTGGCCACCTCCAGGTGCGGCTCCGTACAGTTCTGGATGCACTGCGTGCCGGAGAATATTCTACAAACCTCTATTTCAGCCGAACTGACCGTTGTCTCATGGATGCGAGGGCCTTACCAGACAGTGCAAATGATGAAACATGGCAATTTGCCCCATATACCGAGTCTCACCTCCATGGGACAGCTGGATCAACGAGTCTTTCCACTGCGAAGTGTACATTGGAGCGATTCTCTCGACCACTTCGGCCGACACGGCGATAGTTCCGTCACGCCCATCCAACATCGCTACCAAGGTCTCAGTCAGTCCAGGAATCTAGATCAGACAGAGAGAAGGGGATATCTTACGATTTGCCGTCCATCTGCGCCACTCGTCCTCGGACGCAAGACCATTGGAGAACTTGGACGCGAACTTTGTCGGGTACATGAACGTCTCGTTGAACCGGGTCTTTTGAACGGACACAGCATCGAGGATGGGCGACCACATGACTTCGGGGGCACGACGTGGCTCAGATATGACGAGGCTCGAGATGCCAACGACGGCCAGCATCGATGACAGCAGCAGGAGGCAGCCATGAAGAAGCCAGAACTCGCGTCGAGTGCGGTAGCGATACCCTCCTCTGTCGTCTCCTGCAGCAACGGCTGTTTTCCCCGGGTGCCAGGAGGAGGCAAGCCAACTCTTCCCCGAGACTTCCTCGTCAATCAGTCGAGTGGTTTCCATCAACGAGGAACGCGGGCATTCTTCTTCCGCTTGCCCCTTTTCTCCTTGCTCCATCGAAGTGTCAAGAGGGAAGACTGGCAGACATTGCCAAACGGATATGGACAATAGGGTATTTCCTTGAGAAGTAGTTGCGAAGTCCCAAGGTCAGGAGAATCCCTTTATGACCCAAGGACTCTAAACTAACAGTAACTACCAGCTTCGCCATGATGGTACTCGTACTTAGTATAAGATCAGTCCTGAATCAAAACGCCTACTCATCCTGTTCCGTCATATGGTATGGTAATTTTCCTGTGGACCTGTCTGCCTTGTCCCTGGCCTGTCGCTGTGCAGCCGGTCAACCAGCCACAGCCTGGCAGGGAGTCACTTGGGAGTCATATTTTGGACCCGCAGGTGACCCGTTGGCCCCAGTCCCCAGATCGCTTGGGGATGGGTTATGGGATGTCATGATGATGCTGATTTTGGACCAATCGCTGACTTTGCTGACACTGAGGGCCGCCCCGGTTAATAGTCAACCCCCTCCATGCTACTCGTACCTACACTGGCTGCCTGGACCAGTGCTGGACCAAGTACTAAGTAGAAGGGGTTGGATGTCGTAATAATTCTGTACGAGGTAGGTCGTACCGAATAATCGTACATGTGTTTCCCAGAATATAATACGATGCTCTTGGCGAGGTGGGTGAGAGTGGCAGTTGGCAGTATCGAAATACTGGCAGATTGGCCTCTACCGAGTACTTGTGTGGGTGGCCGGTGGGTGGTAGGCAACGTGCCTGATAGGCTTCCCAACGTTTTACCGACTCTGTGGACGCTGCGGGGTATTTACGGAGTATTTCCTTCTCTTAATTTCCATGTACCGAGTACTCGGTATAGTGGCCCCTATCAATTTATTCAGTCCCTATCAAGGCCCCTTCCCCTCCGTAAAGCAACAAAAAAACAGGGGATGGGGGATGTATATAGACCCAGGGACAAAATACCTCCCTCTACAAGAATGTACAAACCCAAAGCACCATCACGGCCACACAAATCCCCAACCGCCCCGGCCGGGCCAGCAACTTGTCATGCCATGTCTGATGATCAGTGCACGAGGCGGAATAGTTGCCGAGATGCCTAGAAACACTGCCATGGCCGTGCCAATGCACCGCCACGCGTGCACCGACTTTATTCTCTACAACGACGACTACAACTAGACTACAAGTACAACTACAGGTACTGCTTGTACAAGTAGGTAGGAGACTAAGGGAGTAGCAATTTGGGTCCTTTGTCAGTCCATCTGTCTGTACAATATCGCACGATCCGAATCACGCCTCACGCCCGCATACAACGAAATGTCGATATTGAATCGCTTCCGCGGCCGTTCCGCCGGAGGAGATCGAGCACAGGTCGATCCGCATCAGTGGCGACTCCCGTCTTCATACTCGACATCCTCCAAACCAGGGACGCGAGAAACAGTGATCCCAAACCCAAGAATCTTCCGAAACGCCTTTGTGCCCAACGAGCCAACAGCGGCAAGGATCGGCGCCGACACCGGCCTCGTCTACCCCGACGTCAGCCATGCGGCGGTGCACCTGGCGCTGCTCGAGAGCTTTCACAGACTCAGACTCTCGGCGGCCAGCAGGTTCGACGACGTCGAGGTAGTCGAGGACCAGCCGCCGCCGGCATTTTCCGAAGACGAGAAGCGCGACGTGCTTAGCGAGCAGCAGCAGCAGCAGCAGCAGCAGCGGCAACATCGTCCACCGACAAGTACAAAGCTGCCCGAGCCGGAGCGATGGGACCTGCTGATCCGGCTGGCCATCACGCGCTTCACGGCCTGGTGGATGAACATGGACCGGATTCTGTACCACGCCACGGCGTTTACGCACCACGCGGGCACCCGCGCCGTGGTGCAACTGACAAAGGACTACCTCCCGCCGCTGGACGTGCTGCTGGTGTGGTACGCCTTCATGCTCGACGAGGAAAGCTACACGACGGCGTGCTCCTACCAAGAAACACCCACCGCCCGGATCGGAGACCTGTGTTTCCCCTGGCCGGCCATCCGCGACGCGCTCGACCTCGACTCCCTGGCCTACAGGATCACCAAGCCGGCAGAGAACCTCTTCGCCACCCTGACGTCCCAGTCGGCAGACATCCTGACCTACCTCGAAGGGCCGCCCGCGTACGTCGAGTGCCCGGAGCTGCCCGTCGACATCGACCTGTTCGCCCAGGTGAAGCGGTGCGAGAGATTCGTGGACGAGGCCCACCGGCTGCTGTGGATCCGGTCGCCGTCGTTGCAGGGCTCGCTGGAGCGCGCGTCCCTGCAGTATCTGGAGCGTCAGCTGTCTCCGACTCCGATCTCCCGCGTGGCCACGGCGGCCGGCCAAGATGATACGTCGTCGCCCTTGCCCTTTGGCGTGGAATTGATCTGGAAAACGCACAGGCTCTACCCGCGACTCTACCGCCTGTTTCGGCTGGAGATTGTGCCCGTGCCCGTGCCCGCGCCCACGCCCACGGACACCAAATCACCGCGAATCTCCACGGCCGTGGAGTGCCTTGATGATAGTGACGTCCCGGAGCGGGGCAGCAGCCAGCCGTCTTTCTCCAAAGAGTACGACGAGTGCTACTGCTGGACATGCGAACGCATCCGCGACGACATCCCGACATTCAGCTACACTGCCGCCACACAATCCAGCTCATCGTCATCATTATCATCATCATCATCATCATCCCTCCGCGCCGCCGCCGCCGCCGCCGACGCTATATCCCCCTCCCCCCCCTCCCCGCTGTCGACCCTCTCACAAGCCCAAATCCGCTCCATCCAAGACGACCTTGGCTTCCACCTCGCCGTCGAAAGGGCCCGGGCGCGCCACTCCCCGCTCCCGACCCGCCCGCCCACCGCGGCCGAGAAGGCCGCCGAGACACTCGAGGCCAGGAAACAGGCCGAGGTCGGCCGACTCCCCGGTCTGAACGAGTACCTGGTCACCATGCCGAATGGGAAGAAGAAGATCAAGCGGTCCAAGCACACGAATATGGTTTACACGGCCATGGTGTGAACATTTTCTAACCCCCCTCTCCTGGGCTGGAGCGGGAAAGAGGGGGAGAGGAAGTGGTGGGTGGGAGGAGTACTACTGTCCCCTTTGGTTCTTCGTTTCCAGTCTACAGTACCACAGTTAGCGTGTGTGTTGGGTTGGGCTGTTCATCAGAGCGACTCTTGACCTCTCAAGGTTTTCAAATCAGGTGGAACAAACTCCTCCTGAATCTGAGAGGAATATCATACATATATGCTTCATGTGGCCTGGTCCGGCGTTTTTTTTTTTTTTTTTTTTTCATTCCATGTTACATACCTCGGGCACATATTCTTTCGATACCAGGGCTACACCACCTGAGTCGCGAAAGACTCGTAGACTTAAAAAGTCCTAATCAAAATGGAATTATCTTGGTCAATCTGGTCACGAAAGAAGCCTATACCACCTCACCACCTCCCTAACCGGATATGTAACTGTGTATGACACAGTCAAAGTGAAAAAGCAAAGACTGCTTCAACACGTATTGTACCCAATCGCAATGACGGCGTGCAGCTCGTCTCGGTCCTTGGGGTTCGGCCCCTCCAGCCGCGCCAGCAGATTCTCCGTGCAGTGCAACGTGTGGGGCATGCCGTCGCCTCTCTCGGCGAAGCGTCCGCCATTGGCGCCCTCGAGGATTCTCTCGACGCGCCTCATCCAGAAGATACAGTGGCCCAAGTGCTCTTCCTGGGTGGTGCGGGCGAGCGAGCCCGCGCGGAACGACAGGGTCTCTTCGTCGGTGATGTGCGCCGTGCCCTGCCGGTCGAGGAAGAAGGGGAAGGCCCCGAACTGGCGCTCCGGCCGGTGCACCCACTCCCGGAACTCGAGGTCCGTGGACCGATCGTAGCACGCCGACGGCGTCCAGCTGTAGCTGAGTAGGTCGAATTCGCAGCCGTTGGCGCGCGCTTCGGCGAGGCTCGAGCCGCAGTGCAGCCCGAGCTTGGGCGGCTTGAGCGAGCTGTTGGGGGACGGTGGTTTGATATGGCGGATTGTGGTGATGGCCGTCACGAGCAGGAGTATCGTGGCGATGAGTGCTCCGAGGAGTAACCAGAGCTGCGCCAGCCTGGGCCCGCGTCGCGGCGGCGGCGGCGGTAAAGATACGGCGTCTTCAATGTCTTCGAGTCCTCCGGCTTCTCCAGCCTTGTCGTGCACATGGCTTTGCTCGATTGTGGCCCTTTCGTCGTCGTTGTCTATCGGACTTTCATGATCGGTTGCAAGTCTTTGGTATTCGCCAGCAGCCTGTTGTCCATCTTGCGTCTTCTTGGTGCCGCCAGTGATGATGCGGCCGACCAACTTGTGAATACTCCAGGTGTTTTCCATCATGGCCGTCGGACGGCTGCAAAAGACCTGGAGGTTGTGACTCGTCGATATTATGGTATCGCTTCAATCTCTTCTGGAGGATCTCGTCCGCGTTGCGGATCCATGCTCAAACCACCTTCGTGACAGCATCTTACAGAAAACTCACGAAGCACCATCAGGTGGTGTGATCTCATACTGATACCATTTCCCCTGCTCCTTAGCCCCAGCTCGTTCTGTGGAGTAATGGCAGAAGAACAAGGACATGACAAGACAATTTACCGATACTGGCCATGATTGCTTGACCTTTGCAGATCGGTATGCAAGATGACCACGCTAAAGGACGTACCCCTACTCGCCTGCAAGGTCAGCACTGCACCTCGGCCATCCCCGTCCAGGAGCCGCAGAGAACCAATCGGGACTTCAATGTGCCTAGAATCATCACAAGGTCATCCAGTGTGCTGTTTTTTGTGTTGACAGCCCTCCTTTACTGCCGAAGGCGAGTACCATGCCTGACAACTATGACGGATGTGGTCATGCACATTTGCTCGTGCTCGTGCTCGCGGCGGTTGCCATCCAGGTTTCTATCGGCACTTCCTGTCCGGGTCTAGCGAAAGCGAGTTGGGCAGGGGGAGATGCAAAAGAGAGTCCTCGAACATTGCAGCACCTCGTTCGAATGATATGCTTTCCTTCCATTGACATCTCGTGGGTCATTGAGGTTTGTCTTGCCCCTGACCACATTTGTGCTGTTACAAATAAACAAACACCCTCGAGACAGAGCTGGTGTGACTAGATCGGCCATGGCATCTGCTGAAGAAGTGAAATACGAAAGACTCGAAGCTGGGGGCGACGAGCTCGACAATGTGCCCTTGAACGAGAAGCAGGACGCTGCTTTCGCGTCCCCGCTCCCCTGGCGGCGACGAACCTCGTTGACCACACTCGAAATCGCGATTCGGGTCGTATTGGGCTTCTTCCTCGTCCTCAGCTTGCTCAACATTGGATTCCTGCTGGGCGACAGAATCATTGGGAGAAGATGCGATAGAGGAATGCCTGCGAGCACCTCCTCGGACGATACCATCTGGAGTGAGTTCCTCAAGCCCAGCATTGTTGTCAAGATCAAAGACTTCCAAGGCTGAATGGAAGATTTATTGCAGGGGAGAGTCTTCGTACCCTGGCCGTCTCCAGGCCAAAGAGATTTGATGCAACTCTTTATGGCCGAAATCAGTACAGAGGGCCTCCCAGTCCAGAGATTGATGCTGCTTGGGATAGATTCACCACAAACCGCAAGTTCAATCGTGCTCGATGAATTGGTTCTCTCTGGGCTGACACAATTCTAGCTTGGATGGTTGAGACGGCAGTAGTTCTCAATGTATCTCGAGAGGAAATGTACAGCTCTGGAAACGCCGCAGCATTGGAGACGGTCGTCGAGCTTGATCAGGACAACGGAGGCGGGTTCATGGGGACACTGGAGGTCTTCCACCAATTACACTGTCTGGTAAGTGAACGCTCACAGATGAACCTGGTTGCTCTTTTTAGAGGTCGCTCTGACACCCTCTGATGTGAAGAATGTCCTGCGCAAATGGACGTACTGGGATCACTATGTCGACACCGATCCATTCTTCCAGACTCGAGCCGATCATCGTCGAGAGCATGCCGGTGAGTCGCCTAAATAGTGTTGACGGTTCATCAAAAGGTTGACGTGGATGGCCCGGCAGACCATTGTATCGACGTGTTGCGCCAGGCTCTCATGTGTAAGAGCGATCTAGGACTCATCCTCTTCCACTGGGTCAAGGACATCCAAATCCCTTCGCCGGACTTCAATACCTTGGTAAGCAGCCATCCCCATGACCTGAAACTCGGGTGGACCAGCCTGACAGGATTATTAAAGCACCAGTGTCGCGATCCCGAGGCGGTACTCTCCTGGGCGCATGCGAACGAGGCCCTAGTGACGCACACCATCGTCAAGTCGGCGGGTGTCACAGAGGCAGAGCATCCCTTTTGAGTCTTTTCTTGAATCTGCGTTATCTCTGAGGTTCCCCAGGATGGAAAGGCTGGGCGGAAGGTTTTGTCCAAAGCGAGAGACTGGCTGTAAAAGTACGTGACGACCTTGGTCTGTGCTTGTTAGTACATTTCTCATTGCAATGAACAACACATACAACAGGTCCTTCTTGTACCATTGACATAATGTCTTCTTTAGGCCCAGGGGCTGTCTAGGGAGCACAAGAATCAGCGTAGGAAATATGAGGCCAACCTCGCCAGACTTGGTCGTCCCGGCAATTGTAGTAGCATGCCCTGAGCTGTGGTATTTAGCAGTTCATTTCCTCTCTTCAGCTCGTCCGCCAGAAACGCGAGCCATTAGGAACCTGAAGCACGATACCAGTTGATGCAAGGAGGATGCTTGAGCAAGAATCCACAATCATGGTCGTTGTGAGGTTCATCCGATCTGGCAGGTCGCATGGTATTGGCTCTGGGAGGGGTTGATTTGTCACAGCCCAACGACTCACCATTCCGCAGCTGTGCGATTGTGGTGTTTGGGGAGTACATGGGAGCTATTTCATCTGCTAGGGAACATCTCTGCTATATATGGACCGGGGAATCTGTGAGACAATCTGAGAAGTATATGTAGATACGTAGGTCTGGCGCGAGGATCTTATGTGCAATAAAACGGTGAGCTTCGAGGAACTCATTGTAGCAGTCGCAGTCCGCAAGGTGACAATAGGAGTGCAATGGAATGGATGATAAGGGAAGTTCCGCTCTGATACGCACTGCAGCAACAATTTTACAGACTTTCCACTTGATCCTCGACTCGACGTACTGGTATCCGAAAGGTGACCAGCCGGGGTGGCGGACCAAGATGCAACCCGAAGCGTCAGTAGAATCCAGTTATCGATAGACTGAGCTGTGCTGCTCATTGTCAAGATGGCAGTATTGAAAGAAGTTGAACAAGCGCAAAAGTGCAGGCAGTCAACGCCCTGATTAAAGCGGCGGGGCTAGATGCTCGCCTCGGCGCCAAGACCGGACGGAGGCCCGCAGTCGCCGCCTTAATACGTGGAGTGATGGCGACGCCGCAGGACATTTTTCCTGGCTCTCTCTGAGCAATATCTGGTGTCCTCATTCTCCGGCGCATTCTTTCTGTACCTTTATTCGCGATGGCTGGCATCTTCGAGGGCCCGCGCAGCGGTGGGACATTGTTTCTCGGTGGTCAGAAGATCAGTGGCCAGGACATTCGAGACCAAAATGTCCTCGCAACGCAGGCAATTGCAAATGTCGTCAAATCCTCCTTTGGGCCTTCAGGCTTGGACAAGATGATGGTCGACGATATTGGCGATGTCACGGTCACCAATGATGGCGCCACCATTCTCAGTCTCCTCGACATCGAACACCCTGCCGGGAAAATTCTGGTCGATTTGGCTCAACAGCAAGACAAAGAGGTGGGAGATGGCACCACATCCGTCGTCCTTCTCGCCGCCGAACTCCTTCGACGGGCAAACGACCTCATGAAGAACCGCATACATCCTACCGTCATCATCACTGGGTACCGCCTGGCTCTGCGAGAAGCGGTCAAGTACATGCAGGAGAACATCAGCACAAAAGTGGAAGCCCTCGGAAGAGAAAGTCTAGTGAACATTGCCAAAACGTCAATGTCAAGTAAGATCATTGGCGCCGACGCGGATTTCTTTGGCAATATGGTAGTCGATGCCATGTTGGCGGTCAAGTCGGTCAATGCACAGAAGAACGAAGTCAAATACCCAGTCAAGGCTGTCAATATCCTCAAGGCACACGGCAAGAGCGCGACAGAGTCAATACTGGTTAAGGGATATGCATTGAACTGTACTGTCGCATCTCAGGCAATGAAGACGAGAATCACCGACGCAAAGATCGCCTGCCTCGACATGAACCTCCAAAAGGAACGAATGAAGCTTGGCGTACAGATCACGGTTGAAGACCCTCAACAACTGGAAAAGATCCGAGAGCGGGAAGCTGGCATTGTCCTCGACAGAGTGGAGATGATACTGAAGGCCGGAGCAAATGTGGTGCTGACCACGAAAGGGATCGATGATCTGGTTCTTAAATTGTTTGTTGAACGTGGCTGCATGGCGGTGCGGAGATGCAAGAAAGAAGACCTGAGACGGATAGCGAAGGCGACAGGGGCAACTCTTGTCAGCACTCTATCTGATCTGAACGGTGACGAGAGATACGAAAAAGAACTACTGGGTTACGCCGAGGAAGTGGTTCAAGAACGCATCTCGGACGACGAGTGTATCCTGGTGAAGGGAACCAAAGCCTTCTCATCGGCGTCGATTATTCTTCGAGGGTCCAACGATTATCAGCTTGACGAAATGGAGAGGTCTGTTCACGATTCCTTGTCCGCAGTCAAACGAACCCTAGAATCTGGCAGCATCGTGCCTGGAGGTGGGGCAGTGGAGACGGCCCTACACATCTATCTCGAAGAATTCGCCATGACCGTTTCTTCTCGGGAACAGCTAGCGATTGGAGAATTTTCGCAGTCTCTCCTGATTGTGCCAAAGACCTTGGCCGTCAATGCGGCAAAAGATGCCTCCGAGCTTGTCGCTCAGCTTCGCGTACGTCACGCACTGAGCCAGAGAGTGCAAGAAGGGGAGGCCAATGAGAGAGAAAAGGACATTGCGAAAAAGCGACAGTATAAGAATTACGGTTTGGACCTGATGCGTGGCAAGGTTGTAGATGTCGTTAAGATGGGTGTCTTGGAGCCGAGCATGAGCAAGGTGAAGCAGCTCAAGAGCGCTGTGGAAGCCTGCATTGCCATCATGAGGATTGATACGTTGATCAAACTCGACCCTCAAGAGCCACACGGAGAGGACGACGGGCACGGGCATTAGAGGGAAGTCGAACAGCAGAGGTACACGACATGATACCACGAAAACCGGGGCTCGATCGGCACTAACTGCGCGCCAGAGCAGTCTATACCGCCAATGCGCACGTCCACAACGTCGCCCGGGTAGAGAAGAATAGACAAGGACTTTGCCGAGAGTATGACAACCTTGCAATGCAGAGGTCGGGCGACGCAATCAAGTCAGACTTGTAAGCTCTTTTGGCCACGATGTGATGACAGGAATTCTGCGCTCGGGGTTTGGGGCTTGCGCGATGGTGTCGAGAAGTGAAGCCCGGGAGCCATGATTGAAGCAAGCAAACCAGTGAGAAAAAAGTGGCATGATCACAGGGCGGTTTGGCGCACGCTGACCCTGAAGTCTTCCGCATGAAGCAAGTCCATAGACGAGAAACAAAGAATTGAACGCCTTCTGCTTCGAAACATCGAGTTTGTCGAGGATGATGCTTCATGTCCATGCCAGACAAGGCGCAAGGCTGACGCCATGCCAAGGCCATGTCTGCTCTTCATCTGTCAGCAGGTTCAGGTTCACCGACTGGGGGCCTACAGTTGTTCACCATCAGGACTCAAGTCATCCTCTTGATTTTCTTGCTCTGGCTATATTAGCTCCCTATATCTGTTGTACCCTGGACATGAAAAGAGGTCCTCCACTAGACTCTGAACCAGTACAGATCATGCCAGAAACCTCACCGGGCGAATGAACCGTGAGCGACTCGACAGCCTCCCCACATCCAGAGACATTTCACTTCGAAGTCGGTATCAGCGTTGTCAACAGGGTTCATCACTCACCATAGCCTACTAAAACACTATAGCCCTGATCCTGAACATTGTACCAATGTGCCTACCTACCTGGCCCCCACACAAACCAGGAACGCCTCTCGTAAGGACGCGAGTCTGCCCACCCTTGTACAGGGCGAACATCTAAGATCCTTTGTCTCCAACCAATGCAGCGGCCGAAACTGGAACATGATTGCATCGGTCGGAAGATCTCTCGAGTCGACATCGTGGAATAAAGGCAAGATAGGTTGCGCAGGGGTGCATGACCCCGGCATACCAACGACGACATACCGGAGAAGGTGGAATTGCTATTTGAAATCAAATATCTCCAAGTACCTACTGACCCACAGTTTGTCAGATAAGTACTGTACAAATCAGTAACAAGATTTATGCACAGATTGAGGCATTGCGAATGCATCGTCCGGATGTTCGACGACAATAAGGCGGCCGCAGTCGCACAGGTAGCCATCACATTCTTCACCCAAAGAAGAACTTGCTCAGTCCCCTGTTCTGTCAATGATCGAACGATCAAGGAATGTCTAGATTCCTAAACAAGGTAGTTCCTCTTCTCAGACGTTTTGCTCGATCCGCCTCAAAACCCCTATCGCCATTGCCGATAACCGAGACGGACAATCCGACAAGGGACAAGGGAGATCTTGAGCACAAGAGATCGTGCGCCAATGTTGTTGGGCATCGCTCCTTCCCAAGAAAGACCTAACCGTCTTCATGTATATTAGGCTGTCACGCTGTGCAGGACGGGTCGTCGAAGAATGCTTTTTGAGGCGGTTCTGATTGTCAAGCTCGTGTCAAAAGGAGTGAGCAGTCTGCTGATGTCTGCAGCTCCATGCTGGAGTCCGTCCTCGACTTTAGGGTGTGATACCAAATGAGCATTCGTCTCCCTGCTCGGCAAGCTCCCGAGTTTGCGGTCGGCCGGCATCCTGATGGATGTGAGAAGCGGACCAAGGATGCACCAAGACGCCGGACTGAGGGCGGGGGCTGGACATTGATGCGGACATGGAAACCCATTTAAAGGCAGTGGGAAGCCACCCAGAAGCTTTCGTGAACGATTCTGATGGTTTGATGATGCTAGCAAACTCATCTTTGATGCACTAGCTGAGTCAACATGTGTCAGCAGCCAATGGTATAACCTCACGAGCGATGCCTTGATCTTCCACGGTTCGACGGCATATGTCCCTTTGATGCATCCATCGTTGACATTGGACAAACAGTACGAATTTTGTTTTGCACAAGGCTCGATACACGCATGCCAGCACTTGGAGAAACCCGACGCTGAGTTTGCGCTTGTGGGGGTCCCTGGGAACATATATGCTGGGCGATCAGGGTATTCGGCACCTTTTCCAGCTCTGCTCTGCATGTTTGGGCTCGCTCGCCATTCTACTCCATGTCTAAAGGCGTGGGCTCCTTTCCGGGTGCACGGCTCCCAAATTCAGGTTACTTACCTGAAGGACAACCCGCTCCTCAGAGACGCCACGGATCCCCGCCACCAGCCTTAGCGGGATTGATGAGCAACAGCAGTACAGGGACTAGTGGCAGCCGCTCCACCTCAACACCGAGTTGGAGTAATTTTGCTTCGACCGATGAGCTCCCGGCACAGCAATCTGGCAGTCCATCAGTCGACCGTGGCCCCATCCGACGAACAGTAACACTTCCAGCACCAGTACAACATTACCAACCCTCGCTGCATCTGGGACCTGCTCCTCCGCTGACGAGATCTACCACGGATACCACGAGGACGTCTAGCATTGCTGACTACTCCCAGCCACATGAAAGACCATCGGAGTGCAACAGATTGGGTTCGTCAAGCCATTTGAGGCGGTTGACAGGTGAAACAGCAACAGGTGCGCCAGACAAATCGGCAAGAAGCCTAGTCACCAGTGTAGCCAAATTTGTAGAGGCATCATCGAGCCAGCGAATCACCTCGACATCAGTGGCCGAACCTGTCGAAACACTTCCAGCTGCGCCACAGCCAGTGCATCGAGACAACGCCAGAGGCAGGACATCACCACAGTCACATGTATTGGCTCCAGGCACACACGTCAATGGGAAGCACAGAGCAGAAGATGATGAAGACGCTGACCACGGCAAGTCCGTAAAGACGCCGGCAAACATCAAAAAGAAAAGGACGCCCCGACCAGCACCCAGAACTTCAAGGCCAAGTCATCGCCCGGGTCGGAAATATGAAATGCAATGGCGCCTTGGTGCAGCACCGATGGCTGTCATCAAGGAGTCAAAAGAACAGGCCAACTTTGGTCGAGTGCTCACTGCCATTTCCAACTATCATCAAGGTAACGCGGGTGGGATTTGGAGGACGGTCATGCAGCAGAATGCTGCTGGGTTTGATGGAAATGGCCTTTGTGAGGCTATGGCAGTCAGCATCATGCTAGCTGCAGGGTTCATCTCGTCTGGTCAGCCAGACACAGCAACACAAGTTCTGGACAGAACGTTGCCGCTTGCTAGAGCTTTGCTACTCAGCCAACACCCGCAGCTCTGCTATTATTTCAACGAGATCAGCATGGATACTTCCAACACGGTGGCTGGAAGCGTTCGAGCATCGTGGAAGAGCTACCTGCTACCGCTTGCGATCCACACTCTGGGCGAGCGCCACCCCATATCGATCCTCCTCGGCACGCCCTTGACGACTGAACAGAAGATGAGAATGAGAAGGGAGGGACAGAGGGTGGCGCATCAGGAGCACCTCCGAGCGTTTGGGACTTACTCGTATCAAACTATGGTGCACCTTTGGTACTGGGCTCGACTCACAGCGGCGTCAGGCGACGTGCCCGAATCTATCCGGATGCTCGAAAGCGTCGTGCAGGCTTGGGAACAGGTCTACTCGGCCAACTCGGCGGTGGCAATTACCGCCATTGTCGAGCAGGCCCGGGTGATGCTCGCATCTGGAGATGCCAGCGTCAAGGTGGAATGTCTCTTGAGTGACGCCCTGCGGCGAAACGATGTTCTGATCTCGGGTCAGGTGCTCCAACCGCAGTTTATGGACGCAGCCGAGGCGAGGCTGCGAGAGAGCTGCCTCATCTTCTGTCAGCTGGCGGCTTTCCGGTGTCTAGGACGTTTACACGTTATGAGACACAATCTCGGCAACGCAAAATGCTGTTTGCAACAAGCGCTGAGCATCGCCCAGTTGAACTTGGCCGAGGATTCTTCGGTGACCAAGCTGTGCAAGACTGATCTGGTGGCGGTGGAACTGCTCCAGCTGGAAGAAGCGATGGGAAGCATGACGCTGACGGACCCAATCAGCAGACTTCCTCCCATCACGAGCATCATCCCTTTTGCGCCTGTGGATTGACGGGCTTGATGCCTTCTGACCAGGACGCAGCGATTCATGTCTATTGAGATGATGAGGGTGTTGGTATTGAGAAATGAGACTGGGGAGCGGCAGCAGGTGATTCCACCACGCTCTCACTCGGATAGATGCAGATTATACATGTTTACAAGTACATACAAAGACATGTGTACTCGGTACTCGGTACTGGGTTAACATGAGCTAGTGTCTTTGGCTGCGCTTCAAGTGTCTTTACGATTCTTGGCTCTACATAATATTGTAAATCACGTCAACCGGCTGTCGGCTTGGCTCCCTGCAAACTAGAAACTTGTCTTTTCACTGAATTCTCTAACCTGAGATTGCATGCTAGATGCACAAGAAGCCGAGTCGGTTTATGACTCCCATCTTTTCCCTATGACGAGGTTCGACCTGGACCAGATACAGCGACTTTTGATTTAGAGTCTCAGCCAGGCCATCGCCAGCGCGAACCTCCCCCTCTAAGCCTCGTCATCTTGAAGTGCCAAAAAAGATGTTCTCTTCATTCGTCAACTCCCTGACGCAAACATGGCGTCCTTCGGACGACCGTCGCATGATGGAAGGGTGGATACATTGGCATCAGAGACTGTGGGAGACGGTGCAGAAGAATGGCCACCTCGGATTGATCTGCTTTGGAGGGCCTCCTGTTCATTTCCAGATTGTAGGGAACCCTTTCCTATCCAGCACTCTGTTCACCAATGTCCTTTTTATCTGACCTTTGTTCTTGCGGGCGAGCAGCTACATAAGAGATTCGTGGAGAAATACCACTGGCTGGACGAACCCATGTTTCAAGAGCTGTTTGCCGTCACTCAGGCGCTCTCAGGCCCGGCGAGCACCAAGATGCTCTATTGCATCAACCTCAACCGGAATGGTTTCTTATCCGCCTTGTCAGCTTTCCTACTGTGGTCGTGAGTTTTCCCTGCCTCTTTTCTTGCTCCTCTGAAAGCTCTGCCGAAGAGGATTCAACTCACTCCTACCCAGACTACCCGGGGCTGTAGGGATGTACGGCCTATCGCTCGGTATATCCAACGTTGACGACATACTTCCTGCTCCTGCCTATGCACTTCTCTCCGGCCTCAATGCCGCCACCGTGGGCATCATCGCCCTCGCCGCGGTGCAGTTGTCCCAGAAAGCCATCACAGACAAGATCACCCGGATCCTGGTGTTTTTAGGAGCGACGGCCGGGATGCTGTATAACGCACTATGGTTTTTCCCGGTGTTGATCTTCCTGGCCGGCCCTGTCACGATCATCTGGGACTTTCGATGGCCGCACGCCTTGTGGAGGAAGGTTGTTGGGATAGCTCACAGGATGAGACACGGGCCGCCGAACCATGAAGTCGAGATGAATACTACCACAGCACAGTCACCAGATTTTCAATGTAAGTATATGTCGAGGATTATCTCACTGTGCCTTCCCGTCAAGCAGATCGGCTGACATCAAACTATAAGCCAACGGGACGAACCATAGCCACCGAGCCCCCCAGCAAGAGGCTGAGGTCTCCGACCTCCCCAGAACTTCCGATGATGTCCAACGCGTCTCGAATGACGGTCAAGACGCAAGAGTCATTCCCCGGGAGAGAGAGCTGAAGGTTTCCTGGAGATTTGGCACCGTTCTCATCGCCAGTTTCTTCCTGACATTCATCACCGTCATGGTGCTGCGCGGCGTGGTAAAGCGTCGACCACTGCTGTTCAGCCTCTTTTCCAACATGTATCTCGCGGGGACGATTATATTTGGTGGTGGCCCTGTTGTGATTCCCCTCCTTCGACAGTGAGTTGTGATGCAAGATCTACAGTTTGACCCCCCCCCCCCCCCAAACCCCCATAGCTGACACCTCTGGCACAACTCAGGTATATTGTGACAGAAGGGTGGGTATCCTCCCGAGATTTCCTTCTGGGGTTGGCCATCATACAGAGTTTCCCAGGCCCGAACTTCAACTGTGCGTCTCCCACAGATTCTCTCTCATCCACCTTCCCTACCATCCTGTCTCGGACTCACAAGTAATCTACTGTATTGACCCTCTGCCACAGTTGCCGTGTACCTTGGCTCACTGACGGCCATCAACGCATCATATCCCAGCGCTGCGGGCGCCATCATTGGATTCATCGGCATCTTCGCGCCGGGTCTGATCCTCGTGCACGGCACCATGGGTCTGTGGAAGGCGCTACGCACTCGGCGATGGGTCAAGGCCGCGTTACGCGGTGTCAACGCCGCCGCCGTCGGGTTGATCTACACGGCCATCTATCGGCTGTGGGAGATCGGGTACATCGACGAAGAATTCACCAGCGGTTCCAGCCTGGGCCGCGATCCGTGGTGGGTGGTCGTGACGGCGACGAGTTACGTCGGTGGATGCTGGTTCGGGGTTCCCGTCCCCGTGGCGATTTTGCTCGGCGGTGTCATGGGTCTCATTCGCTATGGCGTTATATCAAACTGAGGCAGGCAATTCATCCTATATGTATGGGAATATACAAGAATGGAAATGTTGCGGAGTGTCAATGAGGTGCGATTTTGTGTCCAGTATCGTCCTGCTTCTCTGTCTCTAATTCACCGTTGTCCGTCATCTGTTATCCAACCTGACACGCCTGTGATTGATCTCTCTCCAAAACATTTCTCTCGACTCCTCTTGACCTTTCTCACCTTCCCTCCCTTGATATTTTTGCGACGCGACCGGACAAAGGTAAATGTATAGAATAAAGTCATAAATTTATCACAGTTTGTTTCTCCTCCTGTTTTATCAACCCTCGCACTCCCTTCTCGTCATCATAGATTACGCCACCGCCAACGTCGATCGGGGAGATCCCGTTCCGCATCCTCCCTAATTCCTTACCTCTCTTTTAGTGTTGAGCATCAATGTTTCTGAGTTTTTCAACGGGGGTTTTTTTTTGGTTCATTTTGTTTGATCCAGCTTCCAACTCCAACTTCAATATCGACATTAACATCGACAGAACAGAACGGCGTGCGCCTCACACTGGAGAGACATGACTGTTGGTTGGCACTTGGAGAGGAGCGCGGTCAAGTAAGCCCTGTCAATCACGAAATGTCCATCTTCTTGCGGAAGAACAGCATTGCGTAAAATAAACAAATTGTAAATCGAAGGGAAATCAGCTTTGGAACTACTTAAAAGTGCAAGGCTGAGTCTCGGCGTTTTGTCTTTGGGTTCAGCCTTGCGTCATGGCTGGTCATGTTCTCCCCGCATGTGGCATGTGGCATGTGGCGGGGACATTTTCTCAATCACTCAAGTCACTCAATCCACCGCACCGAGTACAGCTTATGTATGAGCCCATTCCCTTGACCAGCTTCCTCGCCCCTCCCCCGAAAGAGATTGATTACAAAGAGAGAGAAAGGAAATAGAAAGAGAGAGATCAATTACAAACAAAAACGGGAAACACGGAAAAATGGTCGCTGAAATAATCACAACAATCTCCCCCACGACCAACAAACCCATCCTCACCCGACATGGCCAATCGCCCGAGGCGATCTTACAGTTAGGCACCACGGCGCAGCGGGCCTTCAAGGCATATCGCGAATCCCACCCGACGCTCGCGTCGCGGCAGCAGATTGTGTCGCAGGCCCTGAAGACGGTGGTGGAGCGACAAGATGCGTTGGCGCGCGAACTCACGGAGCAGATGGGGCGGCCGATCGCGTACACTGCGAAAGAGATCGCCACAGCGGTCAAGAGGGCCGAGTACATGAACAAAGTGGCGCCGGACGTGCTGGGGCGGGGTGCGACGATTTCTGGAGAAGAAGAGCCCGGGTTCAGGCGGTACATCACGCGGAGCGACCCCGTCGGCGTCGTGCTGGTCATCTTCGCGTGGAACTACCCGTACCTGATCCTGGTGAACAGCCTGATCCCCGCGCTGCTGGCCGGGTGCGCCGTGATCCTCAAGCCGAGCCCGCAGACGCCGACGGTCGTCGAACACGTGGTCGACATCTTCCGCGGGGCGGGCCTGCCGGAGAACGTCATCCAGTTCCTCCACTGCGGGAGCCCCGTGGACCTCAAGCCCCTGATCCTCTCGCCCGACGTCAACCACATCTGCTTCACCGGGTCCGTGGCCGCCGGGGTCGCGATCCAGACGCTGGCGGCGTCGCGCGTCTCGTGCTCCGTCGGGCTGGAACTCGGGGGTAAGGACCCGGCCTACGTGCGCGGGGACGTGGACGACGTCGCCTGGGCGGCCGAGGAGATTGTCGACGGCGCCATCTTCAACTCGGGCCAGTCGTGCTGCGCCATCGAGCGCGTCTACGTCCACGCCGACATCTACGACTCTTTTGTGACAGAGGTGAAAAAAGTCTTGCGGGGGTACAGACTCGGCGACCCGCTGGACCCGTCCACACACATCGGGCCCGTCGTCTCCAAACGGTCCAAGGACACGATCGAGAAACAAGTCGCCGACGCCATCGCCGCGGGTGCCGTGGACGAAACACCCGCCAACGAGACCTTTAAAGCGCCCGCCGGCCCGCCCGAGGGCAACTGGGTGGCGCCCACGCTCCTCACGAACGTGAACCACACCATGTCGATCATGCGCGACGAGACCTTTGGGCCGGTGATCCCGGTCCAGAAAGTCTCGGGCGACGACGAAGCCCTGGCCCTGATGAACGACTCGCAGTTCGGCCTGACGGCGTCGATCTGGACCAAGGACACGCGGCGCGGCGAGGACCTGTGCGGCGCCGTCGACGCCGGCACCGTCTTCGTCAACCGCGCCGATTTCCCCAGCCCGGACCTCGCCTGGACGGGCTGGAAGGACAGCGGCAAGGGCGTCACCCTGAGTAAACTCGGCTTCGAGCAGTTTGTCAAGGTCAAGAGTTTTCACGTCAAGGAGTATCCAAAATAAATATTCTCAACTGAGTACCTATCCAACGTCATGCGGAGGGGGGGTTTTGTGGTTTGAGGGGTTCCCCGTCTGAAGACAGTTTGAGGACGGAAAGAAAAGGCGGAGGGGGGGGGGGGGGGGGGGGGGAGACAAGAGTGCGCTGCGTGAGGAATTGAATCGAATTGAATTGAATTGAATTGAATGGAGATGAAAAATGATAAAAACACACACCAAGAGAAACTCACTCATCCAACGACAATCAACGAAGAAACAGCGCGCAGATTTCAGATTTTCACGTATACATGATATCGTATCTTATAGAAAGGGAGGCGGAACGGATGGGATAGATAAAAGGAACCAAGGGAGTAGTAGGTGGTCTCTGGAACAAAGTTGAAAAGACTCGTACAAATTGCCCATTTGTCTTTTGCTCAATGCCCAATGTCCAAGCGAATGATTTTCGTTAAAATATACATATCGCCATCCGCCTCTGGAGAACACTAGCATGTGCGTCCGCTTATGCGTACGCATACGAGTCGTTTCACGATCGAGCACGAACTGCATTGACCGGAGGCGCTGAGAGAGAACCGTAGCAATCCACAAATAGCCACCAAAAAATCTTTGGAAATCCCCCAAGAATGGAGACCGGGCAAGTCCGTACCTTTCGACATCACCGCACCAGCCATAAGAAACCGACAGACTGAGTTGCTCACAGGGAGCGAGAAAGCCAACACCACCAGAGTGGAGTGAAGAGACATCCTATCCTCCCTTGCCTCCCCAGCCCGAAAACGCGTTGCTGAATGGTTCCAAAATGCACCTCCCCGGGTTGGACCGAGTTCGAAGTAAAGTCAAGTTCAGATCAGCCACAATGTACATTTGCCTCACGGGCAAAACAAAGGAAAATAAGATCGCTCATGTTTCGTTTTGTGTCGCACGTCGCACATCTCCAATAGGGGCACTGGAACCCTCGAAATCGTGGAGTATTCAATCATCGTCAATGTCAATGGCATCTGGATTTGCAGCCACTGCTTGGTCAGGTTTGTTGGTCGTGTCGTCCGCTGCTTTCGACGGCGCACGATTCCCACCCTCTGGCCCTGTGCTTGCTGCAACAAAGCCAACTGGTGCTCTCGCCTGTCTTTCCAATGCAGCCATTGCATCCTGCGCCTCTCCGTTTCGCCGTTCAGCTCCTTCGCCTTCGCCCTCACCACCAACCGCAGCAGCAGCCTGCCCCCTTGCAATTGCCTGGCTTGCGATAAATGCAACATCTGTGTTGAACTGCGCAGCCACCGATCTCTTGATCCTGAGCATCTCCTTAAAGGTGTCCTCATTGCCATGGGCCACCTCGAATTTCTCCCACGTCTCCCAGAATCCTTTGTCGACTCTGGGATCAGCGAATTGAGATGCGTGGCCATAGATTGCTCTTGCGCGATCGATCTCTCCCAAACGTCGCTCCATTTCTGCAAACTTGAGACACATTGTCTTCGCCTCCTTATCGGGCAACGAGGCGATAGCCCGTTCGTAGATTGGGCGTGTAGATGTCAGTCCGAAGTTGGTGGCTGATTTGGTAATGTAGAATTCGAACATAGATAGACGGTCGTCGTCGCTCACGGCGCGTGTGGCGCGTTCGTAGATCCGCATTGCTGACCGGGCCAACCCTCGTTCTTCCTCTAGACTGCCGTACATGAGATAGATCGATTTAGCGAACTCGGGTGGGCATTGTTCCACGGCTTGCTCGAAAAGGTCCCGAAGGCGCTCGATCCCGATTTTACGGTTGACGGCTTTGGTGAGATACAGGTTCCACAGCTCGAACGCAACTGGGTAGGTGAAGACATCAAGGCCTCGTTCGTAGACCTTGAAGGATTCTTCAAAATAGCCATGCTCTTCGAGAAGGTTGGCATAGTTGACAACAGTTTGTGGGGTGGCAATGCGTAGTTCGAAGATACGGTCATAAACTGCCCTGGTGTCATCCAGAGAACCCACAGATTCCACGAGGTCGACATAGAATGACCAGACTTTCCAGGACTTGTGTACACGTTGCTGTGGCGATAAAGTTTCATCGAAGTAGTCGACCGTGCTCCGTTTCGGGGCTTTGGTAGCTGTAGCCATGACTTTCATCGCACCGTCAAAGTTCTCGTTCCTCAGCTCCATCTCGGCCCAGCCAATCCACGTGTCGGCGAGCTCGGCGACGGATTTGTATGGCACTTTAACCGCTTTGTCGAGAATAACTCGAGCTGTGTCCAAGTCGCCGGCCTCTTCGTAGAATTTGGCGTAATTCAACCAGAGTTCGTGAAACTTGCCGACTGCCTTTTTCGGGGCGACTGCTGCAATCGCATCTGTGTATGTCTGGACAATCTCTTGTTTGTTGTCGTTCCACAAAGCAACCCGTTTTTCCCACTCGACCACGTTATTGGGATTCTGTCGTAACAATACGTCGTTGACCAGGAATGGGCGGCGATCCATCAAATGTTCAAACCGCATCATTTTCAGATCCAGCTCAAAGTCTTTGTCAGGATCGATAAATCCTTTGGCAGCACGGGCAGAAGCAGCGTCCATCAGCGTGGACAATATAGACTCCTCGAACTCGACATACGCGTCAAAGATCATGGTAAAATCACGCACTGTCATCACGGTGGTAATGCCTTCCTCGAAAACATCTCTCGCCATCTCGAAATCTCCGCGGGTGATCCAGTAGGTCGCGAGACCAGCCCACAGCTTGCCACGTTGGTCGGCAAATCGTTCTATGCCACTTCGGATAATGGTATCAGGGTCGAATCCAGAAACCGAGCTATCACCGATGTCTCGAGCCTTGGTGACCATGAGCTCTACCATCTCATTCCACAGCTGGAACTCGCTTTTGATGTGCTTTGACCTGAACTTGGGGTTGTTCAATATCTGAATGTATCTCTTCACTGCCTCGAGGTAATGTCCGGTCTCGATGAGGAGTTCGATGTAGTCTTCCATGTCTTCGGGATGCACTTGGACATAGCGAGCCCAAATCTTGACTGCTGTCTCTCCTCCTGCTGAAGTGGCAAAGGACTTGTAGAGCTTCCAAATTCTGTTGTGTTGCGTGACAGGCAAAGCGCGGAGTGCACGGTCAAAAGTCCTTCGCGTTTTCGTGACATAGGGTTGATGTAGAAGGAACTTCAGGTACATCTCCCAAATGACGGGCATCTTGTTCAACAAAATGAGGGCCCGTTCGAACAGGGCATTGACCTTGTTGAACTCTGTCCGGTACTTGACGGGGTTTTTCTTCTTCAGGTGTTTGATCCGGAAATCCAGATACATCTTCCACAGTTTATATGACCGCGGCAGTTGTATGCATGCCCTCTCTTGTACGAACGCCTGTTCGTGGATCGTGCCATTGCGCATTTTGAAGTCGATGTAGGTCAGCCATGGTCGGACACTTCCGGGGTTGCGGAGGATGTCCTGTTCGTAGATGGTGTCTTCATTGGCGATGAGGTACAGGTCGGGCTTGACGGATTTCATGGCGACCTTCGAGTCGTTACGCGACCGGCGGACTGTGCCAGGCATGCCGGGTTGTCGTGCTGAAGAAGTTCTCCTCGACTTTGCTAAATCCAGATGCAGGCAACCGAAGATCTCGGAAGATGGTTTTGACGGTTCCGGCTTGGCATCTTTGGTGCTCATCCACGCTCATCTTGCTATTTCGTCCTTGATGTACTTGACATTCCACCTCGCTCTTTCATGGCTCTTCTGCGACGAATAATCGAATGCGCAAGCAATCAATTGTACGCAGAACCGTGTTGAGAGGGCGACTTTAGACTATAACACATGCGATTGTGGAGCCGCGGTGAGTTGCGGTGAATATCGAGTATCTCGACTTTATTCCATGCTCGCCGCGAGCAATCTTCCAACCCTGATAGAATTCACTAAGCTCCATACGATATCAAGGCAAGCCTAAAGCAAAATGATTGGTGCTTCCCTGGTGGTATGCAATTAGATGCTGGAACGGATCGTGTTCTACATCGCCCACAAAGACACGGTTCCGGATACGTCGAGTCTGATGACGCCCGTGGCCGGCCCAGGAACCCATACAATATCTACTCGATACTTGTATCGATTATCATTTGGCAATGTTTGGTGTGTACGTCTTCATTCTCACCTACTTACCGGTCTTTCGTTGAATTTCGATGCAATTAGAAGCAGACCCGAAGGTTCAGGCCATGATCCCATCGCCACGCTCCTGCGAGATGCCATGACAGAGACGAGTGATTTCATGTTCCTTAAGATGCCTGCGGTCTTTAAAGTATCAAGCTGGCTTTCTTGCGCAGCAAATGTCTGGGTTCTGTGTAAAATTAAGCCTGTGAATCTGCCCATAGATTTTCTCATGGCATTTCTAGGTCCCAGAAGGAGCACTGAATATCGCTTGAACTCTCAGAGATACCTAGTAGACACTCACAAAGATAGGTATTCGTATGGTCTCAAGGCTGAGCTTCAAGATGTGTTCTGTGCACGGGCTAAAGTTTTAGCGAAGCATGCTTGGCAACGTCATGCCTCCCCGAGCCTTGCAGCTTCGCCAGGTGCAGGTGATAAGCTGCGGTCCATTGATCTTCGCTGCTCCAACTCGCAATTCAGGTGTCTCTGTATTTGTCTCGTACCAGACAGGACGAAAAGTAGTCCACAGACAAGATGTCGTCCGGCGCAGGGGTGAGAAGACCGTGCGGGAAAACAAGAACGACGTTATTACTGACCACTGCCTGCAGAGAGAAGCCGTCTTTCCCACGCGGCAGGCGTTGGGTCAAATGAACTCGAAGTTGAAGGGAGCTCAGACCGGCCACAGTCTATTGAAAAGAAAGAGTGAGGCTCTGACAAAGTAAGTGTATTATCCCCCATTGCTGGCATCGTCACATGCTAATCTTCGGACAGGCGGTTTCGAGGTCTGTACAAACTGTCACACTCTCCTGGCGGACCCGCGAAGCTAAAATTGCCACAGAAATCCTCAAGAGAATCGACGAGGCGAAACGGAAGATGGGGCGAGTCATGCAGATTGCGGCATTCTCTCTCGCCGAAGTATCATACGCAGTGGGCGGAGACATTGGTTACCAGATCCAAGAATCTGTCAAGACAGCCCGGTTCAGGATCAAGACCAAGCAAGAGAACGTCTCGGGTGTCTTTCTGCCTCAATTTGAGGGGTACACAAAGGACGAGATCAATGACTTTGGCTTGACGGGCTTGGGCAAGGGAGGGCAGCAAGTGCAGAGGTGTCGCGAGACCTACACCCGAGCAGTCGAGACGTTGGTGGAGCTGGCAAGCTTGCAGACGGCATTCATGATCCTCGATGAGGTTATCAAAGTTGTGAACCGAAGAGGTATGGTTGTCGGAGTCTATCAGAGACCAGACGGAAGCTGACCACCTACGCAGTCAACGCCATTGAGCATGTCATCATCCCCCGGACCGAAAACACTATTAAATGTAAGCTCATTGGCGTTCCGCGTTCCCTGCAAGCTTCTGACACCCCATTTAGACATCAACTCCGAGCTGGACGAGCTTGACCGAGAAGAATTCTACAGACTGAAAAAGGTGTCGGGGAAGAAACAACGCGATCAAGCCGCGGCGGACGCTGAGCTCCAGAAACAGAGGGAAGCTGGGAGAGGCAAGCCAGAACAGGAGGTTGATGGTGCGCAGCCGCAGGATGTACTAGGCGAGCATGAGGACGAGGATGTTATTTTCTGATGTGACTTGACACAGGGTGAGAGGACCCTGCGAGATGTTGTATGCTTTTTTATCCTCAACGCCAGCCGAATCCATGCATGGGTATCAAATACAATAGCTGGCAGCAGTAGAAGTTTGCCCCAACCATACCATCATAACACTTCCCTGGCGCAGTCCAGCGCAGCCTAGCACCCCCGCTCAAGCTCGTTGATACGTGACCCTGATTCCCTTGCCCTCATCACCCAGTTGCATACCAGCCGTCGCCTCCTTTGCACTGATAGCGCCAGCCTCGGCCTCGTATTCCACAAACGCAATGCCCTTCCGTCCAGGCACCATGCGCACTTCCTTGAACCCTTCGAAACGACTGAATATCCGACTCAGGCCGTCTGCATCGTAGCTGTCCGGCAGATCCCGCAGGAAGAGAATCTTGTTGGGCGGGAGGTACTCATCGGGGATGATGGCCGTGGTGTTGGTGCCCGAAGCTTTGAGGCCTGCGCCCTTGGCCGCCTTCGCAGGGCGGGCGGACAGTCCAGCTCCTGGTGCGGCGGGCTCGGCGGGAGCGGCGGCGGCAGCAGGCCTCTTGAGGACCTTTTGCTGCGTGGCCTCGAGGGCCTGGCGCCTCTCCTTCTCCGCGATCCTGGTCCTCTTCCACTTCTCGAGCCCGTGTTCGCCGTCTTCGCGCAGCACCGTGGCGTCGGACCGCGTGCGCGCAAAGTCCAGCTGCATAGGCTTGTCGAACAGCTCGAAGCCGTTGATCTCCTCGATGGCCTTGGCGGCCGATTCCGGCTTGTCAAAGACCACAAACGCCTGGCCCTTGGCCTTGAGGTTCGACTTGGCCACCAGATCGATGATGTTGCCGTACTCGGAGAAGATCTCGGTGAGGGCCGTCTTCATCTGTTCGATCTTGATGCGCTCTTCGAGGTTTTTGACATAGACCCTGGAGCAAGAGCGAGACGCGTCAGTCACTCAACACATGGTAGGGGAGGGGGATGTTCTCATCGTCTTGTCGAGTGAGAAGGTGTGTGGTGGGACATACGTCGAACTCGGAGGATTTTGCGTGGCGGTCGTCATGACTGCTAGCTTCTGATGCGAGGTTCAGACCTGGGATAGCCTCTTGTGACAATCATCAATCGGCCTGTCAACTCATCAAGATATTAATCGTGGAGCGTGGACGGTGGAATTTGGGTGCGACACTGACACCTGGTGAGGGCGCTGGGTGCGGAGGTGAATTTCATCGCGAGGCTGTCGCAGAGCCGCTCACGTGCCACCGCCGCTTTTACACCAGAATGTTCCACAGATCTGCCAACCCTCTCACGTATCCCCCTTGTAGCATCTTGGACTTGTCGATACACTGACAATCCGAGCGCAGTATCATGAGACTTGTTCGGAGCCTCAGCGCCCCACAAACTCACCACAGGCGAGTGAAAGGCACCACGAGAAGCCTTTCGCCGCTCTAAACTGTTCCTTACTTACAGCTCCAGTTCCAATGGGACGCTGTTGGCATACGAAACCGAGTACCGAGTACACCCGTGTTATATTCGTGGCCACTCCTCGGACCATCCGTTATCCCCAGGCCAAGTCTCTTCAAATCTCAAACAACCAAGATCTGCAGTACTAAACATTTTGGACAATCTAGAGTCCTGAAGACAAGTGTCGCCTCCTGCTATCGGATGGTCAAAACCATGTCACACGTCAACAGCACATGGGACTGTGCAGCATAGCGGACAAGTCATTTGCCACTCCATCTTCGCGGAGCTCTCGTCAAGTAAACCCCATGAAACCTGTGCACTGTGGTGTGTTTGTACGAGCAGTGGAGTGGAGAGAGCAGCAAGAGCCTCTTCTGCCGAACGGTGGGGTGGGGCGAGGGACTGCTGAAGAAGTAGCTTAACCACCAGCAGCGCCAATCGGAGGGCTTGATATCTAAGCTTATCGTCAATCAGGACTCGGTTGAATGTCAGGATTGCGGCTTTTGTCCACACGAGTAGTCACCCAGAGCAAGGGGAAGCGAGCCGTCAATCAATGACTTGATCAGGGACTGTGCGATCGCGTAAGCTATTTTCTTGGGGGGAGTCCATTATTATTATTCCTCCCTGAACCTATTTTGGTCCCTCGCCTGTGTCCTCGGTGTGTACTCCGTACTCGGTAGTGGTATACTGTGGGTGGGAGGGTGCGTGGGAGGGTATAGGAGACGATGCCATTTCCCTGTTTTTCCTCCTGCTACGCGGACGCTCACTGGTTGAAGCAAAGCTCGAGAAGAAAGAGGTCCAGCAACCCCTGCGTTTCAGGGTGCTCCCTGCTTTGCCTCCCTCGCTTCTTCCCTCTAACTCCTTCCTTCCCTGCATGACTAATAAAGCTTATCTAATCTTCAGCCTTGTGCCGACAACAAACCCCAATGATTTCGTGAAAAAATATACTTATCCGTACAAATATCGCCAAGAGAAAGACAGAAATGTTAGTAGCTACCTCCAAAAACAGCAGAGATACACGATCATTGCGCGCTGGAAAGTTGGGCGCCAGGAATAGATTTCAGAAGGGGGAGGTTTGTTAAGCAACGTTTCTGCCTGAGGTGGCAAAATCTGGGTGGGGATCTGACCCCCAAACTCCGCATGACCTGGGAATAAGTGGGCTCTTTTCAACGAACCCAACGGGCTGACAAGCTGAAGCTCCTCTCTACGAGTGCCCAGAGGGAGCTTGTAGTGTTGTGCCAAGCCCAGCGTCATACCAAGGGGTGGATGGAAGGAGAGGTAGGGACTCAATATCACCGTCGCATCTCATTTTATTTCTTACCTCGTATTGAAATATAACCCGTACCTGTCTTGTCATCTGTCTCGTCACGGTCTTTTCAAGGGACTTGAAAGCTT